TGATTTGTGACATCACATATAGTTTGGATGTCAAACCTGGTCCAGTATGCAACTTAGAAGTGTGAAACTTGAAGCCACCAGTGCACATACACTGAGAATGGACTTTACAATGAAGAAGAAATTAACTAAATTTCCATATTCATAGATTTTCTCAGAGTCAGAAGGAGTAGATGTCTTGGTGGTGGTGATGGTTTTAATGTGGAGAATTATACTTCTGTTTGCAGAAAATACATATCAGACACACGTTATTGTTCCAAATGTACTATTTGTATATATGTTGTAATACATGTCTTGATGAGATCTATTTATTTCTTAATATCATCAATGAAGAAGCCTAAACCCTCTGAAGATTTTTCTCCATTCAGAAGCTTTCCCTATATTCCCCCTTCCTAAACGCCACAGGGCCCATTGTTTTCAAAAATCCATTTCAAGCCCTGCAGATGCTGCCGATAAAAGTCGGACAGTAGATAAATAAGGTTACAATGCAATTGACACATTCAGCACAAAGAAAGAAAAACTCCCTACTGTAATTTAGCTTCCGATTTATCTCTGAGTTGACTGCCTGGCAGAGTTTGATATAATAATTTAGGCCCACAGCAGAGAGGACAGCATGTCATCTGCTTCTCTTCTTCCTCCGCGGCTTTCACAGGAGAAAGCAAAATCAGAAGTAAACCTAGCTCAGTCATCCATGTAAGCACCTACGTGTGTGTGCGTGCTTTTCTTCTGGTCATTTGTTTCCGTTGGTGTGTACTCAGGACCATGTTTTGCTCCCTGAGTCCACTGTGATACTTCCCCTCCTGTCTCCGGTTTCATTAACCTTCCCTGTAAGTTTGGCTACATCACAGCACCAATCAGCTGGAATGATGGCTGACTCCTTCTATCCTGTTTGTTTGAGTAAATAAGAGATATATTTTCAGACCTTCATAAATATTCATGACCTTCATCCACCTCCTCTGCCAAGTCCTTCTGATTGCTACGATGCCACTGACAGCTGCTACCTGACAACTGTATCTTGGTCCTCTCTGCTGAGTTGTCTAGCCAGTGCAGGTGGATATGATTCTAGGTTGACCTGAACAGCCGTTTGGCCCAGAGGGCCTCTGGGCCCCGCTAACAAGTGCAATAGCCAGCTTGTCTTGTTGAAATCAACAGGTCTCAAACATTTACATGGCACACACCCACATACATATACGTTTTCATTATGGATTTATCTGTTGATCATATCTCTGATTAAATGATTAATAGTTTGACATATAAAATGCCAGAAATCAATGAAAAGGGCCCATCAAAGATTGACTTCTTAATAATAGTTTTATTTGTCCAACCAACACCAACAAATTGATCAACATATTGATAAAAATGGATAAATCTTTCAGTGTTATTAATTTTATTGTTTATCCATCTGCATACTAATATGTCAGCAGTGGGGCTTATGAACACATTAGTCATTTTATAATACTATTGTGATACTATCGTTTTAGGAGTTGAGGTGGCTCCCAGCTATTTAAAACATGTAACTGTGACACATCTATAGGCTTCAAAGTCCTCATTTGTGCACCTTCTGTCTCTGTGAGGAAAGAATTTAGTTTCCAAAATGTACCTGCTGCTGTCACCATGTATTTTTTGTGTTGTTGGTACCTAGCTGGTTTTTATAGTGGAGATACTCTGAGTTCCGATTGTTTTCCTGCCAATGTGGCTTGTAAAGAAGAGAAAGTTGCCAGCGACTGCCAACAAGCAGACATTTTGCACATAGTTGGCATCAAACCACAGCAGGGTGAATCAAGAAAGTCATAATATCTTATTTTAGGAAATCAGATACTGCAAATGCTGTTTTTAAAATCTAACGGAATTTTAAATTAAGGTACAGTAAGCAGGATACTCTTATAGTTACATTTAAAATGTATGTAGTTACAAAATCTTGTTAGAGGCAAATTGCTGCACTAGTACATCTTCCAC